CCACGACATTATCGTGGGTGGCCGCGTGTGTGCTGGGCACCTCGCTCTACAGCGAGGACGCGGTCGGCGACTGGGTCGACTGGGGCGCTCGAGGTCTCGAGTCTTACTACTTGTACGACTCCATCACCGACGGTGCTGAGAGCAACGACTGCTCGGACGGCGACGAGGAGATCGACGATACGAGCGAGGAGCCTCGCATGCCACCGCAGAGATGGAGCAGAATATACTATTGGCCGAGGGCCGACGACAAGAAGGGGTTGACCATGCTGCTGGTGCCCCGCTTCACGGCGACGACGGGGGAGAAGCGCTGGGTTGCCATTGATCCGACGGGTCGGCTCCAGGTGGTGGGTCTCTCGTCCACGACCAAGGTGAAGGCCAGCAGGTTCCCAGGTGTGGACCACGGCAGCCTCCCGGGCATGTCCAGCAGAGAGAAGCATGGCCGTGGAGGCGGCCGACCACATCATATCATCGGGAGCGTCGACGACTACGGCTAGGATCACGAGGGACTACCAGCGCAAGAACTCAACCACGAGGAAAGGTCATCGACGCCACTTCGTGACGTGGGTTGCGGAGATTGCGAGCAACACGGTCGGCTACATGTGGGCTCGGCGAAGCTTCGGAGGTTTCGCGGGATCTACCTTTGTGCTGTGGCGTGCCTGTACCTACTTCAACGCGATCGAGTGGACCAAGTGGGCCTACTCGAGCGCTAAGGAGACCATCGACACGGCGGAGGGCTTGAATGAGGAGTACGAGCACATCCTAGAACTGCACGGGTCAGGAGTGTTGGATTCGCTGTACATGTCGGTAGGCATTATGTTCGTGGTCGGTGTGATTGGTGCGTGCTGTTGGCGACGAGAGAGTTCGAGTCGTCCATCTTCCCGCGGGCGCTCGGATGTGGCAGCTCCTATGTTGTGGCAGCAGCTATCGTCCTGGTTGCCCTCCGAGTTTGCAAGCCCGTCGGCTGTCTCGACGCCCCGCGACGAGGGCGCCGTGATTTCCGACGAGGAGCGGGTCGAGTGAGTCCGAGCTGGCGAAGCAGCTGAGCGTGGTGGCGGACAGGCTTCCAGCGTTGGAGATCAAGAGCTCACAGCCCCCTCTGCCGCCTCCAGCTGCGCCTCCTCCGACACGGCCCCTTCTTTCCTCGTCGACGGGCTGGGGCGGGGACCTAGCGGGGGACTCGGGCACGAACTGCGACCAGATGATGTCCCAGCTGCTCGAGCGACCCGACAAGCACAAGGAGATTGTCCAGGCTGGCAGTCTGGCAGCGACAGCAGGCACTCCTCCTCGAGCTCAAGAGATGACGGTCAGGGATCCCGAAGTCGCGGCGTTGGTGCGACTTCTGGATGACTCCTTCAAGGACATGTGCGTCATGGCGAAGGAGAAGTTGGAGGCCTTCAGCCCCGCCGTGAGCTGGGCGATACGTGGGGGAATCAAGACCCGTGTCGCTCCAGCTATGGTGCCTCGCCTTTACAGGGGCGGCGCGACCGCCGTCTCCACGATCCGCGAGATGACCGATGAGATGCTGCTCGCCGGGGTGATGATCGACCGCTCCATGATCGAAGCCCCTCCCGAGTTCATCAACTACAAGACGACGGAGCTCGCGCTTCGGAGGTTGCGCGGGATCGAGCGGGCCTTGCGAAGCAGGACTGGAAGTCGAGGATCAACTACCACGTGCTGGAGGAGCTCGAGGGGGTCCTGATCGACGGCGTGGAGAAGGAGCTGCGCGAGCGACGCGCGCATCGCGCTCTGCTGGCCGAGTCCCTCGACAAGCTCCACGACCGCAAGAACGCGCCGACGAAGCAGGGCGAGTAGCTGGTCGAGGAAGGTTCCTGTTCAGGCGCCGGGACCAGGCCGTGCGCATCACGTGCGGTGCTGATCCTGATCGGCGCCGCCCACCTCGCCTGCGCGCGCGACAGCGTTCTTTTCATAATTTCTCATGGGCGTTAGAGCGGAGTGCGTGTTCCCGTCGGGGCGGTCCAGTCGGAGACCCGCTGGAGGTGCTCCCGCTCCCAGCCCTTCCCGAGCCCACGTTGTCGAGTCGACCTCAGGGCGATCGAGGTCGCGGGCCGCTCGGGAGAGGGCGGTGCGAGCTGGGCGAATGCTACTGTGATGTCCTTGACGGCTCTCACTACTGGCCGCTGCGAGCAGCTTCGAGACACTGCATGGGGCAGTGCGACGGACTGGGCGAGAAGCCGCGAGTTGCCGCGGAGGATCTCGGAGAGGATGCTGGAGTGCCATCGGGGGGCCCACAACGTGAAGATGTGCGCCTCCGACGCCGCGCCCGCTTCCGAGCGGCTGGCCTTGCAGCCAAAGCTGGGACCCACGAGGCCTTAGCTGTTTCGGGCGACGACGAGGGGGCGCCGCCGAGGGGCGAGGCGATGCCCTTCGTGAGCGGCGAAGCGTCTCTGCCGCCAGCGTGGACGGAGCCGTGCGACATCGAGCTGGCCTCGCCGAAGGCCAGGTACTACTTCGACAGGTTCCACGAGAGAATGGCCCTTCCGCCGAGCCAGGGGGACGAGGCCGACATCGAGGCCACGCGCTGCCACACCGACCCGAGCCTCCGCCAACGAGCTGCACGCTTGGATTTTGCGGCGCGCCTGTGGGAGACGGGGATGCCCGGTTTCGCCCGCGCGTGCAGGGCCGAGGTGGCCGTGTTTTTCGTGATGACGAAGGCCCGCGAGGACGGAGTCTACGTGCTGAGGCCCGTGTGGGACATGAGGCGAGTGAGCAAGCGCTTCAGGGGCCCGCCGTACCTCACCCGGGGGTCCCCGATGGCGATGGCCGAGCTCGACCTGTCCGACGACGTGAGGCAGGGCCGAGTTCTGAAGTCGACTTGGGGCGACGTGCCCGGCTTTTTTTTCACAGGTGCCGCAGCTGTGCCGAACTGTGGCCCTACATGGTGTACGGAGGTGTCTCGATCGACAAGTTTGTGAAGGAGCTTAAGAGGCGGCAGATGAAGCTGCCCAGTGTGCCGAGCGGATGTCGATATCTTTGTCTTGTCGTGATGCCGATGGGGTTCAGCTGCTCGCCAGTGATATGCCGCGGAGCGCTGGAGGGTGTGATGTGCGACCTGCCCGGTTTCCCCCGCCACGGCCAGCTGATCCACGGTCTGATCCCCCCGAGCTTCGCCGAGGTTGCCTTCATCCACTGGGTTTTCATGGGCGACTTCGCCTCGCTGACTGTCGTGCACGAGAGCGACGAGACGACCGTGGAGACAGTGAGGGAGGCTGCCCGGGCGAAGCTAGAGGTGGGCCTGGACATGCACAAGGATGGAGTGGGGGAGGCATTGCCGCTCTCTCTTGGAGTGACGATCACCGAGCAGCCGTGCCGACTCATGGCCTCCAGGGAGAAGATCCAGAACGTGATTGGGGCAACTGGAGCCGCCATGGCTCGAGGCCGAGCGACGTCGCAGGAGTTGTCCTGTATCATCGGCTCGTGGGTCTGGCTGGCGATGCATTGTCGACCCGCCTGTTGCCTGCTGGGCGCCTGCTACAAGTTTGTGGCGAAGTCCGCAGGCGACCAGACCAGGCGCGAGCTCTGGGAGAGCGTGCTGAACGAGCTTCACATGCTCTACCACCTCGCGCCCTTGATGTACGCGCACCTGGAGCCCCGCTGGAGCGGGGTCGTGTTCGCGACCGACGCGAGCCAGGCCGGCATGGGCGTGGTGGAGACCCGGGCGACGAGGAGCGAAGTCAAAGCCGAGGTGGGCCGACGCTGGGGGCTCTGGCAGCTGCGCGACATGGCCAAGGATGAGGGGGAGGAGGTACTGCTGAACGGCGACGACTGGGCGTGTTCCAAGCGGGGGATCCCGAACACCAGCGGCGAGAGCGACGTGCCCCCGCAGCGGCTGATGGCCGACGTCTTCGCGGGCTACGGCGGGTTCGGAGAGGAGGTGTGGGGCGAGTGCCAGTGCGAGACCCTCTTTGTGGACAACGCTCGCAAACCACGCCGCGGCCTCATGGGCCCGTCGTTCGTCGAGCTCATGTGCCGAGCCATCCTGTTCGGCCTCTTCTTTATGGTGGCTCCTCCGTGCTCGTCGTTTTCCAGGGGGCGGAGGCCGGCGATTCGGGCACCTGGGCGTTAGATTCGAGGGCTCCCAGGACTGCCACCACCCCGGGTGCAACGTGTCTGCGGGGGCAACGCGCTGGCACAGGCAGCCATCTCCATGTGCCTCGCATGCCTGGCTGCAAGCGTTGGCTTCTCCCTCGAGAACCCCGGGGCTTCGATGATCTGGGAGCTGCCCGAGATGGCGAAGCTGATGGAGCAACCAGGCGTCTTTGCGGTGGAGCTGGTGTGCTGTTCTTTCGGGGCGAGGTGGCTCAAGCCGACGCGATTGCCCACGAATGTGGAAAGCCTCTGGGAGCTGGCGTGCCGATGCTCTCGAGGTCATCCTCGCCAGGAGCTCCGAGGGCGAAGCGCCGAAGGGCAGCTGTGGACCAGGCTCGCCGCCGTCTGCCCTCTTCTGCTCTGCCGCGCCTACACCAAGATGGTCAACAAGGCGATTGGGGCCAAGCAGTTGGAGCTGCGCGACTGGCGAGTTCGAGAAGTTCGGAGCCCGCCCGAGAAGACAAGAGCGGTCATTGACCACAGGGCGCGTTTGTCGAGATGGCACCTATCGTGGAGGGGAGAGTGGGCATGCGAGGCCCACATCAATGTGCAGGAGATGAGGACTGTGTCCTCAGTGGCGAGACATCTATGCAGGTCCTCGAGGTGCTGGTTCAGTCGTTTTCTGTCTCTGTGCGATTCCATGGTCACTGTTGGAGCTGTTCGAAAGAGGCGGAGCTCATCCAGGCCGTTGACGCAGCTGAGGAAGATCGGGGCGATTTCGCTGGCGACGGGAGTGAGGCTCACCCTGAGGTGGACCCCGACTGACATGAATCCAGCAGACGGCCCCTCGCGAGGGGAAGGGATCGGCAGCGCGGAGATCACGAAGGCGACGTCCGAGCAGAAGAAGTCGATCCTGAGCGACCAGTACCCCTTCGAGAGGCTCCTAGGCGTCCAGCTGGAGATCAGGGGCATGCACGACGACTGCGCCCAGGCTTGGCATCTCTAGGCGTCCTGTTAGCTACGACGACCTGGTGCGATACCCTCGCAGTGAGCTCCGCCAACACCAGCGAAGCCTTCTCGAGCTATGGCGCCTCGGATGATCAGCCTGACAGCGACGATGATGCAGATGATCTTGCAGCGGGGGCCAGCATGATCGCTGGCGTCGTGGAGAGTCTGGGCGCAGACAACAGGAGCTCATCGAGAAGGAAGTCCGCTAATAACAAGAAGGGCATCAAGGAAAAGGCCCGAGCTCCCCCCGCTGTGCAGCGTCGACCTTTCGTGCCTACGAAAAGAAGGGGCCCCTGGCGTTCGAGAGCGCCGCGGCGGAGAAGCCCGTCAACAGGAGCTCGCTAGGCGGCGAGCACCTCGAGCGCCCCTTGAGGCTCTTGATCCACGTGGTGCAGGACGACACGAACAAGGAGTATCTCAAGGAGGTGGATCCGTTTCTTCGCGACGTGTTCCACAGGCGCCTGCCCTTCACGACTCCAGGGCAGCGAGACATCGCGGTGGCATTCGAGCTGGACAACCGGTGCTTCGTGGAGCGGGCCCCCCTCAACCGAGGGATCAAGCTCTGCCGCGGCCTGATGCACATCTTCCCCGAGTGGAGGTCTGAGATGCCGATCGCGCTGCGGGTTCTTCACAGCTGGGAGAAGTATCAACAGATGTGGGAAGGGGGCCCAGCATCCGTCGAGGACATCAACTACATAGCACGGGAGGCAGTGCGCAGAGGCCACGTCGACGAGGGCATGGCTTTTCTGCTAGAGTACGACTGCTACCTAAGAGAACAAGGTTGGCTACAGCTGAGCGACCCGAGCTGGGTCAGTGTGGAGACAGATTCTTTCGGATGGCGATATGAGTTGGATCGGCCGTATGCATGCTCCACGACACAGCGGACCGAGCCGCGCCATTTTGCACAAGAGGAGGTCCATCGCAGAGATCCAACGGAGAGGACGATGGACCCAAAGCAAGAGCATGGTAAGATACAGCAAGCCTCACTCGCTCACTGTACACGAGGCCAGGCTACCCACGAATGCTAAACAAGAAGGACGAGAAGCTCGACGTGATATACGAGGTCTGCTCCGTACCGTGCCCGACACCAGCCCCTGGAGCTCGGCCGCCATCGCAGCCACCGACCTCCTCGGCGAGTGCGGCTCCCAGGCCTTTGAGCCCCTGGATGAGTCGGACTGAGACGTGACGGCTTCGCCGTATGCACCTCCCGTTCAGCAGCCTGCTGCAAAACAGACCTCCTCTGTCCTCGTCCTCCTTCCCCCCCTGAATGTGCATAGACCGTCCCACCCTCCCAAGTCCCACCTCTATAGTGCAAGCCGAGGTTGCGGGGTGTGGGGGTGTTTTCCTGAAAGCTGGTCCTCGGCAGCCTTGCCTTTTTTCGGTGCCCCGGAGATCCGGGGCCCCTCTCGCGGCTCAGCTGCCGGCGTCGGCGGCAAGAGAACTGTCGGAGCAGCATGCGTCCGCGCTGTGGTGAGTGTGGAACAACGATCTCTCTGGCCATCTTATCGCACCGTCTCAGAAGTGGCGTTGCTGGTCGCCGTCGTGGAGGGGCCGCTGCTGGCTGTTGACGTGGTGCTGCTGATCGCCGTCGTGGTGGCGTTGCCTGTCGTCGTCGCTGTGCTGCTGGTCGCGGTCGTGGTGGTGCCGCTGGTCGTAGTCGTGGTGGCGTTGTTGGCCGTGGCTCTGCTGGCCGCCGTCGTAGTAGGGCCGCTGCTCGCCGTTGTCGTGGTGCCGTTGGCCGCCGTCGTTGTGGACTTGCCGGTGTCCGTCGTGGTGCTGCTGCTGGGAGTGGCGCTGCAGCTGCTGCTGCTGCTGCTGCTGCTGCATCTGCTGCTGCTGCTGCTGCTGCTGAGCGTAGTCGTGGCGCTGCTGGTCGCCGTCGCGTTGGCGCAGCTGCCTGCGGTCATGGTGGCGCTGCTGGGAGTGGCGTTGCGGGTCGCCGTTGTGCCGGTGTTGTTGCTGGCCGTCGCCGTGGTTTTGCTGGTTGCGGTCGCGGTGGCATTGCTGCTGTTGTTGCTCGTAATTGCGCTGCTGCTGTTTGTAGCCGTTCTGGCCGTGGTCGTTGTGATGCCTTTCGTTGCGCTTGGGCTGCTGTGCTCGGCGCCGCCGTTGGGAGTCGTGGCGCCTCTTGTGCTGGGCGTAGTCGTGGCGCTGCTGGTCGCCGTCGCGGTCGTGGCGGTGCCTGCGGTCGTGGTGGCATTGCTGGCAGTGGCTCTGCTGGTCGCCCTCGTGGCAGTGTTGCTGTTGGCAGTCGTCGTGGCTCTGCTGGTCGCGGTCGCGGTGGCGTTGCTGCTGCTGCCGCCGCTGCTGCTGCTGTTGCTGCTCGTAATTGCGCCGCTGCTGGTCGTAGCCGTTCTGGTCACAGTCTTTTTGGTGCCATTCATTGCGCTTGGGCTGCTGCGCGCGGCGCCCTTGTTGGGAGTCGTGGCGCCCCTTGTGCTCGTCGTTGTTGTTGCTTGGCTCTTGTGGGCTTGCTGCACGAGCCAGGGCGCCGCCGGGGACCGCAGCGGATCCGCGCATGCCCCAGCGGGGAACTGGCCCCAGGAGGGTCGGTCCTACCGTGGGAATGGGGCTTTTCCTGTGGGTGGCTCGGGCTGCAGCTGGCGCCAGCCCCCTCCATCGGAAGGGGCTGGGGGGCTGGCGACCAGGCGGCTGGAATGACCGTCTGGGGAGGCGGTGGGTCCTGCTGTCTGCTGTCGTCGTTTCCGCTGTCGCGTTGCCTGCAGATGCTGCTGCTGCTGCTGCTACTGCTGCTGCTGCCGCTGCCGCCGCCGCCGCGGCTGCTGCTGCTGCTGCTGCTGCGCGTTGCTGGTCTGGGCTTAGGTGGTGCCCGTCGTTGCTGGGGGTCGTGGTGCTGGTCGAAATTGGTGCTGGTCGCAGTCGTGGTGGTGCTGCTGGTCTCGGTCGTGGTGGTGGTGCTTGTCGTAGTCGTGCTGGTGGTGCTACTGGTCGTGATGGTGCTACTGCTGGTCGCAGTCGTGGCGCTGCTCGTCGCAGTCGTGGTGCTGCTGGTCGCAGTCGTGGTGCTGCTGCTGGTCGCAGTCGTGGTGCTGCTGGTCGTCGTCGAGGTGGTGCTGCTGGTCGCGATCGTGGTGGTGGTGCTGGTCGCGGTCGTGGTGGTTGTGCTACTGGTCGTGGTGGTGCTGCTGCTGGTCGCAGACGTGGCGCTCCCGGTCGCAGTCGTGGTGGTGCTGCGGGTCGCCGGCCTCGTAACGAACTGCTGGGAGACGCTGCTGCAGCGAGACGTCGACGATAACGCAAAAGAACTGCTGGGGCTGCCTGCGAGGCTCGGCGGGCTGGGCGCGCAGCTGGCGACGACGCGGCGCCGCGCGGCCTTCCTGGCCTGCTGGGCGCCAGAAGCTGCAGCGCAGGCGGCGAGCCAGCACGGGCCCCTCGCCGCTGGGCTGGCGAGCGGGCTCGGGGCGGCGCGGGCTACGCGACGGCCGCTGGCCAGGGCGCGCGTTGCCGGGCGGCGCAGCGCGCGGCGGGCTTCCCGCGAGTCAGCGCCGAGGGGCTTGCCGGGCGGCGCGGCGCAGAGCGCGGCGGGCCTGCCTGGCGGCGCAGAGCAGTGCGACGGGGCGCGGCGGGCCTTCTGCCCGGCAGCTTCGTTCTTCCCCTTCCTCTTCTCCCTCCGCTGTTCGGCCCCGGCCAGTGGCAGGTTCCTCCGCGTCATGCCCCTCGTGCCCCAGGCGCGGCTGGGGCGCGCCCTCGAGGCGTGGCTGGGGTCGCCCCAGCGACGCGGGAACCCGGGAAAGAGTCTGTGTGTCTGTGTGTCTGTGTGTCTGTGTGTCTGTGTGTCTGTGTGTCTGTGTGTCTATCTGTCTGTGTGTCTGTGTGGTTGTGTGTCTGTGTGTCTGTGTGTCCGTGTGTCCGTGCGGCCGTGCGTCCGTGCGTCCGTGCGTCTGTCTGTCAGTGTGTCCTTGTGTCCGTGTGTCTGTGTGTCTGTGTGTCTGTGTGTCTGCTGGTCTGTGTGTCTGTGTGTCTGTGCATTTGTGTGTTAGTGTGCCTATGTGTCTGTGTGTCTGTGTGTCTGTGGATATGCTGGTGTGTCTGTGTGTCTGTGTGTCTGTGTGTCTGTGTGTCTGTGTTTCTGTCTGTGTGTCTGTTGTCTGTGTCTCTTTGCGTCTGTGTGTCTGTGTGTCTGTGTGTCTATGTGTCTATGTTTCTGTGTGTCTGTGTGTCTGTGTGTCTGTGTGTCTGTGTGTCTGTTTGTCTGTGTGTTTGTGTGTCTGTGTGTCTGTGTGTCTGAGAGTCTGTGTGTCTGTGTGTTTGTGTGTCAGTGTGTCTGTGTGTTTGTGTGTCTTTGCGTCCGTGTTTTTTTGTGTCTGTGTGTGTGTCTGTGTGTCTGTGTGTCAGTGTGTCTGTGTGTCTGTGTGTCTGTGTGTCTGTGTGTCTGTGTGTCTGTGTGTCTGTGTGTCTGTGTGTCTCTGTGTGTCCGTGTGTCTGTGTGTTTGTGTGTGTGTGTGTGTCGATGTGTGTGTGTGTGTGTCTGTGTGTTTGTGTGTCTGTGTGTCTGTGTGTCTGTGTGGTTGTGTGTCTGTGTGTCTGTGTGTCTGTGTGTCACTGTGCCTGTGTGTCTGTGTGTGTGCGTGTGTGTCTGTGTGTGTCTGTGTGTGTCTGTGTGTGTGTCTGTGTGTCTGCGTGTGTATGTGCGTCTGTGAATATGCTGGTCTGTGTGTCTGTGTGTCTGTGTGTCTGTGTGTCAGTGTGTCAGTGTGTCAGTGTGTCTGTGTGTCTCTGTGTGTCTGTGTGTCTGTGTGTCTGTGTGTCTGTGTGTCTGTGTCTGTCTGTGTGTTTGTGTCTGTCTGTGTCTGTCTGTCTGTGTGTCAGTGTGTCTGTGTGTCTGCGTGCTGGTGTGTGTCGGTGTTTGTCTGTGTGTGTCTGTGTGTGTGTGTGTGTGTGTGTGTCTGTTCGTGTCCGTGTGTGCTTTTGTGTGTCTTTGTGTCTGTGGGTCACTGTGCCTGTGTGTCTGTGTGTCTGTGTGTCTGTGTGTCTGTTTGTTTTTCTGTGTGTGTGTGTGTGTGTGTGTGTCCGTCTGTGTGTCTGTGTGTCTGTGTGTCTGTGTGTCAATGTGTCTGTGTGTCAGTGTGTCTGTGTGTCTGTGTGTCTGTGTGTTTGTGTGTCTGTGTGTCTGTGTGTCTGTGTGTCTGTGTGTCTGTGTGTCTGTGTGTCTGTGTGTCTCTGTGTCTGTGTGTCTGTGTGTGTGTGCCTGTGTGTCTGTGTGTCTGTTTGTCTGTGTCTGTGTGTCGGTGTGTGTCTGTGTGTCAGTGTGTCTGTGTGTCTGTCTGTCTGCCTTCCTGTATGCCTGCCTGTTTGCACGCCTGTCTGTCTGTGTGCCTCGCTTTCTGCCTGCTGGTCTTTGCGATTTTGCGTCTGTCTGTGTGTCTGTTTGTCTGTTTGTCTTTTTGTCTGTGTGTCTGTGTCTGTGTGTCTGTGTGCCAATGTGTCTGTGTGTCTGCGAGGATAACTCTCCGCGCGAAGTGAGTAATGCATGCGGCGGCGTGCCTGAAAGAAAACCTCCCCCAAATCCTATCAATAGAGGCGGCAGCGGGAAGCGGGAGAGGGCGAGGGGCAAGGAAAATGGAATGGACTCCAGGAAAATGGAATGGATTCCAGGTCACAGCCAATGGCTCCACTGGCGGGCCAAACACTCTAGAGCAGTAGACACAGTAACCATGGAAAGCAAGGAACCTGAAACATCATGTGGGTATGTGGTATACCCGCGACGCGTCGAGGCCACGAGAGGCGTCCACCCCCGCAAAAATGGAGGGGCCGAGGCATCCCAGTGGGCGGGCGCCACGGGCTGGGCATAAGGCCCGCCTGCAAAACAAATTCAACTAAACACCGAACGACCCGCGGAGACGGAGAAGGAGGAGGAGCCAAAAGAGGGAGGGAAAATATCCACCCGCGCTCAGGAAACCCTCAGGACACCCGCGGAGAGTTATCCTCTCTTGTGCCGCTGTGTGAAGCCACTTGGGGTAGTTGCCCACACGGCGCCAATACCCTTTCGTCTTATGTGGGTTTGAATAAGACGTTTTTCCTTCACTGTGCGTGCCCAGAGTTTCGCTTCGGGCCTGGCAGGCTGGCTGAGGTTGCGTGTGAATGGTGGTCGGACTGGAGACATGTGGCGCCTTGCGGGTTCCCTGAAAAAAATGTGTCTGTGTGTCTGCGTGTCTACGTGTCTGTGCGTCTGTGTGTGTCGGTGTGTCTGCTGGCCTGGTGTCTGCTGGCCTGTGTGTCTGTGTGTCTGTGTGTCTGTGTGTCTGTGTGTTTGTGTGTCTGTCTGTGTGTCTGTGTCTGTTTGTCTTTGTGTCTGTCTGTGTGTTTGTGTGTTTGTGTGTCTGTGTGTCGTTCTGTGTGTCTGTGTGTCTGTGTGTCTGTGTGTCTGCGTGTGTCTGTGTGTGTGTGTGTGTGTGTGTGTCTGTGTGTCTGTGTGTCTGTGTCTGTGTGTCTGTGTGTCTGCTGGTCTGTGTGCCTGTGTGTCTTATGGCTAGGATACGTAAGGAGCAGGGGTGCGTCGTATATCCACCCCCTTTCTTTCCGGTTTCCACGCTGCCGTGTTGTCGCTGCAAATTGGCCCACATTTGACCCAGTGTCCCAGTGTCACGGCTTTGCAGATTTGGTTATTTTGCCTGCACTTCACCAATATGTTACCAGACCGCGTTGGGTCAGTTTTTTTATACTCCTCCTCCTCCTTGTCCTTCTCCTGCTCCTACTCCTCCTCTTCCTGCTCCCCCCCCTTCTCCTCCTCCTCCTCCTCCTCCTCCTCCTCCTCCTCCTCCTCGCCCTCCTTTCACCACCCACCAAACCGCCCCACCCCAACCCGAAGGCCGCATTTTGCCCTCCATTCCAAGTGGGGGGGGCGTCGGGGAACACTGATAAAAAGGTACGCGTGGAACCCGTCCCCCCCCTTTCCCCCGTCGCGACGTTTTGGTCTTCGGGTCAGGTTGGGGTGGTTTGGTGGGTAGTCATGTAGGACAGAAACCGAAGTGGGAGACAGGGCTTCCGACAAGTGCGTTGGGGGGGTTCGATCGAGGTGAAACGTGGGGTACAACCGGTGGATCTTTTCGTTGCGAGCGTGGCGTGCGTGCGGGCGAAGCGAGGCGAAGCTGCGCGAGTTCCTCCCTTGGTAGTGGCCAGGTCAGGCCCAGTAGTCTCGCCCCCTCCTCTCTGATCCCCGGCCCCTGGTTGCCCCTGGATTGTCCTGGTTGTCCCGACGGTTGTCCTGATGGGTGTCCCGAGGGTTGTCCCCATGGAAGTGGTTGTCCTGGTGGCTGTCCCAACGTTTGCTCCCCAGGTTGTCCCGATGGTTGTTTCGACGCTTTTGCCGATGGAGGTGGTTGTCCCGATGGTTGTCCCGATGGAGGTGGTTGTCCCGATAGTGTCCTGATAGTTGTTTCGATGGCGGCGGTTGTCCCGATGGTTGTCCCGATCGGTGTGCCGATTGTCGTCCCGCCGGGACTCATCACATTGATCTAGTAGTGCCAAGGGTGATGTGAAGAGCAGCTGATACATGTACATGTTCACACATACAGACGATGTATATATAGAGAATGAAGGAGAGAAAACGAGAGAGATGATACCTGCGCGACCACAATTCGCGGAAAACTCCCTACTGCATCAGCGCGTTGCGTGCCATTGTTTGGCATTTATTGGCGTTACTTTGCGTTGCTTAGCATTGCTAAGCATTGCTTTGCGTTGCTTGGCAATGTTTGTTATACGTGGCGAGGCAGCAAGGAACCAAGACCAAGGAGCCAAGGAATGAAGATCGCGGAATCAAGGAATCAAGACCCAGGAAGTAAGGGAACCAAAACAAATGAACCAAGGAATCACGATCAAGGAACCACGAAAACATGGAACCAATATTAAAGAACCAAGACCAAGGAAGCAAGGAATCAAGTGACCAAGGAACCAAGACTAAGGAACTAATGGAACCGAGAAACCGCCAGGACCAAGGAACCAAGGAACCAAGGAACCAAGATCAAGGAACCGAGACCAAGAAACCAAGGAAGCAAGACGAGGGAACCATATAAACAAGACCAGGGAACCAAGCAACTAGGGCCGAGGAATCAAATAATATAGCCGGAGTGCAGTATCCCCAAACAGGGTTTGTAGACCCACTGCGGTTTCCAAGGTCGATTGCGTGCCCGTCCAGTGCGGGCTGGCATGGCATGTTAAAACATGCCTCCTCCTCCTCCTCCTCCTCCTCCTCCTCCTCCTCCTCCTCTTCATCCCGAACGGCATCTCGGAGCCCAGAGTTGCGAGGATGTCTCCAGCGTAACGGGCTGGACCACCTCGCGCGCGGCATTTCGGACCCCAGAGTTGCGACGATGTCTCGGGCGAAACGTGCTGCGAGGAAGTCTCAGGCGAAACGGGCCGGACCACCTCGAGCGCGGCGTCTCAGAGCTCCGAGTTGCGGGGGCCTCCTGGGGCCTCCTGGGACCTCCTGGTGACCTCCTGGGGCCACAAGAGCAGGAAAAATCAACGAATCGGCACCGGTTGTGTATTCACTTGACACGTTCTGATAGGGGGCCTCCTGGGAGCCTCCTCTCCTGCGGACCCCTGGGGCCTGTCCTGGGCGTCCTGCGGCCTCCTGAAGCTCTCTGGGGCCTCCTGGGGCTCCCAGGGGGGATATGTAACATGTGGTCTTCTGGGCCCCCAGGCTGGACCACCTCTTGCGCAGCATCTGAGAGCTCAGAGTTGCGAGAATGTCTTGTGCGAAACGGGCCAGACCACCTTGCGCACGGCATCTCAGAGCTCAGAGTTGCAAAATGTCAGGCGAGATGGGCCGAACCACCTCGCGCAGGGCATCTCGGAGCCCAGAGTTGCGAGGATGTCTCAGGCGAAACGGGCTGGACCACCTCGCGCGCGGCATCCCGGACCCCAGAGCTGCGACGATGTCTCGGGCGAAACGTGCTGCGAGGAAGTCTCAGGCGAAACGGGCCGGACCACCTCGAGCGCGGCGTCTCAGAGCTCCGAGTTGCAGGGGCCTCCTGGAGCCTCTTGGGGCCTCCTGGTGAGCTTCCTGAAGCCTCTTGGTGCTCCCAGGGGGGGATATCTAACATGTGGCCGTCGGGGCCCCCCCAAATTTGGGGATCCACAAGAGCAGGAAAAATCAACGATTCGACACCGGATGTGTATTAACTTGACACGTTCTGATAGGGGGCCTCCTGGGGCCTCCTGGAAGCCTCCTGGAAATCTCCTGTTCCCCCCTGGGGCCTGTCCTGGGCGTCCTGCGGCTTCCTGAAGCTCTCTGGGGCCTCCTGGGGCTTCCAGGGTCCCAGGGGGGATATGTAACATGTGGTCTTCTGGGCCCCCAGGCTGGACCACCTCTTGCGCAGCATCTGAGAGCTCAGAGTTGCGAGAATGTCTTGTGCGAAACGGGCCGGACCAACTTGCGCACGGCATCTCAGAGCTCAGAGTTGCGAGGATGTCTCAGGCGACACGGGCCAGTGTCTCGGGCGAAACGTGCTGCGAGGAAGTCTCAGGCGAAACGGGCCGGACCACCTCGAGCGCGGCGTCTCAGAGCTCCGAGTTGCAGGGGCCTCCTGGTGCCTCCTGGGGCCTCCTGGGGACCTCCTGAGGCTTCCTCCTGGGCCTCCTGTGGCCTACTGAACTCCACCTGGGGTTTCCTGAAGCCTCTTGGAGCTCCCAGGGGGGACATCTAACCTGTGGCCGATTGGGCCCCTCAAAATGGAAGGGGGGGGGCACAAGAGCAGGAAAAATCAACGAATCGGCACCGGATGTGTATTAACTTGACACGTTCTGATAGGGGGCCTCCTGGGGCCTCCTGGGAACCTCCTGGGAATCTCCTGGGGACCCCTGGGGCCTGTCCTGGGCGTCCTGCGGCCTCCTGGAGCTCTCTGGGGCCTCCTGGGGCTCCCAGGGTCCCAGGGAGGATATGTAACATGTGGTCTTCTGGGCCCCCAGGCTGGACCACCTCTTGCGCGGCATCTGGGAGCTCAGAGTTGCGAGAATGTCTTGCGCGAAACGGGCCGGACCAACTTGCGCACGGCATCTCAGAGCTCAGAGTTGCGAGGATGTCTCAGGCGAGACGGGCCGGACCACCTCGCGCAGGGCATCTCAGAGCTCAGAACTTCGAGGATGTCTCCGGCGAAACGGGCCGGACCACCTCTCGCGCGGCATCTCCGAGGTCAGAGTTTCGAGGATGTCTCAGGCGAAACGGGCCGGACCACCTCGCGCAAGGCATCTCAGAGCTCAGAGTTTCGAGGATGTCTCAGGCGGAACGGCCCGGACCACCTCTCGCACGGCACCTCGGGGCTCAGAGTTTTGAGGATGTCTCAAGCGAAACGGCCCGGACCACCTCTCGCGCGGCGTCCCGGAGCGCAACTTTTCGAGGATGTCTCAGGCGAAACGGCCAATCCCAGCCAACTCAGAAACGAGAGTTGTGATGATGTCTCAAGCCAAACGGCCAAAACCATAAAATTTGTGTGAGGATGTCTCTGCTCCGACTTCCCTCGGCCGGAGTTAGTTTCTACCACAACAGCACCCCGTTCAGCAAGCTGTTTGGGGAATGAAGACCAAGAAACGAAGGAACCAAGGCCAGGGAACCATGAAACCGATACCAAGGTACCAAGGAACCAAGGAACCCAGGAACCAAGGAATCAAGGAACCTAGAGACCGAGACCAGAGTACCGAATATCCAACACCAAGGAACCCAGGAACCGAGATCCAGGAAACAAGGAGTCAATACCAATGAACCAAAGGAATCAAGACCAAGGAACCAAGGAACCAAGGAACCAAGACCAAGGAACCAACTAACCCAGCCCAGGGAATCAAGAAACCAAGACGAAGAAACCAAGGAACCGAGACGAAGGAACTCAGGAACCAAAGAACCAAGACCAAGCAACAAAGGTAGCCTGGGCAAGGTCTTGTAAGGAAACAAAACCAAGGAACTCGGGGGAACCCACTCGGGGAGCCCCGGCTCCACTACGTCCTGCACCCACCGACTTTTCACAAACAAGTAACACCCCGAAGGCAAAGCCTAATCGGAAAATGAACGCTCATCTTGATGCCCTGATGTGTGCCTGATCGTGAGGTGAATTGCGCGTCCAATGCGAATCACAGATGACGTCACCCCCCTCACCTGCTTATCACTCGGATGGTGATCTATGCGGTATGTCGTTGATCCACGTGGTAATGCCTTGTTGGCGGTGGGTCAGGTGCGCTTCCCACTGTGGGCGGAAGCTGATGTGCCAGCCATTCTTTTACCACCCGCTGTCTGTGGTTCTTGGCGCGGTCCTGTTGCATCTGCTGGCGCAGCGGTAAGAATGACGGGGAAGGGTGGGAATCCATAGAACAAAGGGCAATGCCGCCTTATCTTCACCTACCTGTGATGTGCGTGCATTACTCGGCAGTCCTGTGCATGCGAGTGCGCGTGCAGGGGCAGCGTGCAGCTGTGAAGGCAAAGAAATGTCGCAGCAACAAGGAGAGCACCATAGAGAGAGGTTGCATGTGTTGCCCAAGTATCTGTGTGGCCGTCGGTCCATCCTGCGGGTCGCGGTAGAGGCCTCGTAATGGCTTCTTGAGGTCTCTTGGGGATCCTCTCGTTTTTTTTTAGGGGGCATTTTTGGGGCTTCTTCGAGCATGTTGTGGGCCTCTCGAGGCCTCTTGGGGCCAGGGGTCATCTTGGAGGCCTCTGGAGGCCGCTTGGGGGTTTCTTCGGGAGCCTGCTGGCGGTCTGAGGTGTCATCTTTTGGGGACAGGCTCGACATGACAGTTCGGGTTCCCCCTCTGAGGGGCCCTCTTGGGGCCCTCTGGGCCGTCCTGGGGCCCTCCTGGCGCCGCTTGGTCCATCTTGGAGCGTCCGACGCTTGACACAGCGAGAATGCCCAGATCCTTCAGCATAAAATGGGATCACCGAGTTTGGCTTCCTGGGGGTCCACTTGGTGCCCTCGTGGGGCGTTTCGGCGGCTGATTCGACCGTCTGGAGGGCACGCTGGGCGCTCCTGGGGCGCTCTTGGGCCAATTCGGGGCCCTCGTCGGCCGACTTGGGGCTCTCTTTGGACCCCCCTCGGCCCATCTTGGAGCTCAGCGGCTTTCTTCGTGCTTCTGCTGGCGGTAGTTGGTGATGCTGGGGTGGGATTTAGCCCCGCAGAGTTTCCCGTTGTGGCCTCACAGGGTTCTGCTTGCACGGTGGCGAAGCTACCCTTGCAGATCTGTGACCAGACAGACGATCGTCAGGACGGTTGTGTTCGTATGGGAATGGTTGTACCCACAGCGCATCGGGTGCGAATAGTTGAGGTGCGGGTGGGCGGTATGATAGAGGTGAGTCTGATGGCCAGCATGTGGTCACAAACGCGACGCAGCATGAGGTCTTCGCTGGGGCGGCTCCCACATCGTTACGCAGTCTTTGCTCCCGCATTCGATTTCGTTCCCTGTTTTGTTGACCGTGGGTGGCCCAGGGAATCTCGAGACGCCAGGTCGCTTCAATGTAAACGTGTGCCCTGCCTGGGTGCACTGCGACTTTAGCTTTTCCACTTTGGTGCGGCGGGGTCCAGAGGGGGATGCTGCGGTGTTCTGAGACATCCCTGGCTTGAAAACCGCGCAGGCGACATGACGTGCCCGTGGGCGCTGTTGTTTGCCATACCTCCTCGGAGGCGCATCTGCCGCTGTTGAGTCTTTCGTGTCTTCGCACCTCCCGGGCGTGCTGGTGGACACAATGAATTCTTGGCAATCGTGCAGGTCGCCCTGGTGAAAATTCAGCGATCATGCTTGGGCCTCGCGTGCCCGAGCAACGCGTGTCAAGGACAGTCCAGCGCCGCGATGGATCTCACTATTGGCAGAGTCAGGATGGGTACGTGGCCGATGGTTTGGGCTGGCCTTGAATCGCAATTGCAATTGTCGCTGCGTTGGCTGAGGTCATTTTGCTTTCGGAAGTGGATGGGGCTTGCAACCATTTTGGCAGCGGTGACTCATCTCGATTATTGCAATCGTCTGGGCCCGAGAACGCTAGAAACGAAGTGGTGACCCCCCTAATCAAGCATAGATCGAAGCTGATTCCAGGGCTGCTGAGCACACGTGTTCCGCGGGTGGTTTGCATTTTCGGGCAAGGCTTTCAGCGTCCAGCGTTGGCGTTGCAGAAGCGCTGCCGCCATGCTGCCGGTTGCAAGGAGACTCGAGGTGATGACGGTGGTGGGGCATCCAAGTTTCTACTTCTTTCAGCCAGGATCGATGCCTTGGGGCTTCATCCACGGCGCCATTCACCTGTTACTGGTGACTTTTCTTCGGAGGCCGCTTGGCATCTGCGGGAGAATGTCCATAGCCGACTTGCGAGTGTGGAACCCTCGGAGATCTCGAGAGGTCATACCTGCAGCTGCGCGCTCAGCCACCGCCGTATCATTTTGATTTTGAAGCATATTCCGACTGTGAGGTGAGGACGCCTTGCCTACAAGTTGTTACCGCTGACATGCAACCTACATGTGAAATGGTACCCATTCGTCGTTTCCTCCCTCGCTGTGGTGGGCAAAGTTTCCCCGGCGAGGGTTGACTTTACACGATTGCATTCATCATAAGGAAGAAGAGAAGGAACAGGAGGGGAAGGAGGGGGCTGGCCATGCGCAGTTGAAAGCTAAGCGTATTGAACATGTTGAACGCTTGTCGTATGAAAACAGATGTTGCGCTCCGGGGGAACAATCGGAGGATGTTTCGCCTCTGGCGGTTCGGATCTGGCTCCTGCGTGGACGGGCTCGGTTTCCAAGGGAGCTTCTCGGAAAGCTTCCTGCGGCGCGTCGTAAGAGTCCTGGGGCTCATTGTGCCCCGATCTCTCGCTCGCGATGCACAGTGGGATAGATACCGGCAACAGAGCAAGTCCCAGAAAGTTCGCGTAAAAACGGTCCATGGCGGCTCCTGCAGAGATCACGCGGCGTGAGATCTTCAGACGAGGTCCGGAGGCTGTGAGATCGCCTTGCCGATAGGGTCGTCGGAGAAAATGGCGTGCCGAGTCCTGGACTTTGCGAGATACGAGGCCCGTTTAATTTGACAGGTCGAGAGCGGTGCAGTTATCGGAATCCTGGATGTGGAGCTTGTCTTCGATTATGTGCTTCTGATTCTGGGACAGAGGGTCTCGTGTGTCCACCAGGAAGCTGTCTACCAGCACCAACAGGATCCGATTCTAGTGTCCCATCAGGTGTGTGCCGAGACAGCCTGCGCCAAATAGCAATGAAGACGGGCACGCTGTGAGAATGCCGTCGAATTTTGTATTTCTTGTCGGATGGGCAGGTTGCCGTCTGTGTATTGTATTTTCATGCGAATGCATGCGATATTGGTGAGTGTGTTGCGGACGCTGCGGCGATACGTGACGGTGTTTTTGGGGGTGATGCAGTTGTGCTCGCACCGGTGGGCGGGGGAGGTTTCAGCTCAGAGGAAGTGCCCTGTCTCTCTCTCTCTCTTTCCCCCTCTCCCTCTTTCCCTCTATGCACATATAATATGCAGACGCAGTTCTTTCGTTATACATCGGTCTCTCTCTTCTCTCTTTCTCTCTTTCCTGCCTCCCTCGCTTATCTCTCTTTATCTCTGTCATCCCTCTTTTGATATGCTATGCTGAGGGCTTCGGCGCTGCATGCCCATTCCCTGGGCCGGGGCACTTTATGGAAGTGGCGCCAGTGCGTCCGTCCGTCCGTCTGGTAAAGCACGGGAGAACTGGTGCACTCAATGCGTATTGCCACCCTGTGCGTGGACGCCCAGTGCGAATGAAGTTGCTATCGAGACTCGAATGTATCGTCGCATAAGCGATGTCGAAACAGAAAGTTACTTCGCAATTGCGGCGAGTGGCCCTCGAATCGCTAGTTCATGCCAATTCGTGGGACGGCGCGGTCAGGACATTGCGTTGCAGAAACAGCTTTTCCTGCAAGCCCCAAGCCGCGTCTCTTCAAATGAGAGTGCCTCGCGGCCATATGTCCTTTCTGCATGGCATCCTTGCGTAGACGAGCTCGTAGAGCGACTGGGCGATCTAGCTGTGCGAGAGGCTGTCGTTTGGGATGTAGGGGATGTATGGGGAAACCAGGGTTGTTCCATTCATTTTGTCTTCCGTTGTCACAAGAAGTGGGCTGATGCTTCGAGGTTGTTTCGTATTCACGGACTGCGTGCTGGGGAGGAATGCTCAAAATATTGAGTGTGGCCACGCATGCAAGCAGTGTCTCGCGAAGAATCCTCAGTGGAGGAATATCCAGGGTATGGACTTCTTGACGGTTTCGAGCCTTCAGTTGAGGGCATCGACATGGTCGCTAAGGTGTTCAGTAGCGAGTGGCATCCCATGGTTTGCTTATTTGGAGTGCTGCCTCTCACCATGCCCTCCGTCAGACCAGCCCTCCATTCTCATGTGTCGACCTGCTCACATTACGTGTATCGGGAGTGGGATTCGGACCAAGTGATCGTGTCCTTCGTTTCTGAAGTCAGACATGGGATTACAGTACATGTAGGCTTGTCGTCATAATGGCTGATGCCTGGCATACCCAGACCAGACATCGCTGGCTACAGTATACGGTGTGAAAACGACCATTCAGGTGTGGACACATATATAGGTATACATGTATGTAGTTGCATTCTTTTGGACATGTGCGGAAACATGTGGGTAACATATGGTATACGCACATCCTGTACACACATGTTAGCAAACGTGGACCCCAACCAGTGTGTTTCCAGAGCAATTCCGGTGCTGCTTTTTAGGTGGAGGAATTTATGTTGTGCAACCTATGTGGTGCAAAATGACTACCCTGCACCGCGCTTGATCACTCCACTGATCGCGCAAACATCCCACCCACCCACCCGCAACTTGGTTCGCAAAATCTCTTAAGACCGTGACGGTGGGTACCAAATGGCACTTGCCAACGACAGCGACGCCGACGACGACAGCGACAACGACGATGACGACGCCGCCGACAACGACTACGACGACACCGGCGACGTCTCCAACGACTTCGACGACGCCGACAACGACGACGACGACGACGACACCGACGACGACGACGACGCCGACGCCGACGACGACGACGATGACAACGACGACGACGATGACGACGCCGACGACGGCGACAACGACGACGCCGACGACGACGACGACGACGTCAACGACGCCGACGACGACGACGACGACGACGACGACGACGACGGCGGCGACCACGACGACGCCGACAACGACGACGAAGACGACGGCGACGCCGACGCCGACGACGACGACGAAGACGACGACGACGTCGCAAACGAAGACGACGACGAGGGAGGAGGGAGGACGACGACGGCGACAACGGCGACAGCGACGACAACGACGAGGGTGGAGGGAGGACGGCGACGACGCGAACGACGAAGAAGGAGGAAGGACGGCGACGCCGACGACGGCAACGACGAGGGAGGAGGGAAGACGACGACGACGACAACGACGACGACGACGACGACGGCGACGAAATAGGAGGGACGACGACGAGACGCCGACGACGGACGACGACGACGACGAGGGAGGAGGAGGAAGGACGACCACGGCGACAACGACGACGGAAACGACCACGACGCCAAAGAGGACGACGACGACGAACACGAGGAAAGACAGAGGACGACGTAGGCGGCGACGACGACGACAACGACGCGGGAGGAGGGAGGACGGCGACGACGACGACGACGACTCAAGAGCGCGCGCGCACGCTTTTGTTGAAAATCCGTGTCGCGAAACCTTGGGTTTTTGTAGGTTTTTTTGCACGCGCGATTTCGAAATCCTTCCGAAACCGATGGGTTTTGAAGGATTTCGGCGTACGCGCGCGACCCCGCGCGCGTCTGCACTTCGTCCCACTTTTTGCAGAGGATTCTCGCGACGCCACACGCGCAAGGGCGTTCGACAGATTTCGACATGCGCGCGCGCGCGAAGCCCGTTTGGTAGCATGTTGTGAAAATCTTGAGAAACCTATGGTTTTCTTAAGATTTCGCAAGAGCTCGCGCGGAAGCTTTTTTAGCAAATCAGTGTTGCGAAACCATGTGTTTTTGTGTGTGTTTTTCTGGAAACTCGATTGCGAAATCCTTCCGGCGCCGAAGGTTGTTGAAGGATTTCGGCATGCGCGCGCGACGACGGGCGCGCGTGCACTTCGTCTCGTTTTTTTGCAAGGGATTCGTGAACAAGTGTTATGTTAGAACAAAGAATATCACCGCACAGTTTTTTTCAAGGGACCCTCAGGGGGGGGAAACCGGCCTGCCTGTGATGGTATGATTTCATATCTAGGATGGACGAGTGTGCATAATATATACATATATCTATGTCTATATATATATATATGTCTATATATATACATATGAAAATATACTATCCCAGGGGGAGCTGATAAGTGCGGGGGGGGGGGGTCGAGTCTATTCTCTTTTTAGAAAGGAGAATTAAGTTGTACAACCTGTGTGCAGTCTATGATGCGAAATCTATCTTGTGCAACATACGACTAGAATCTATGTTGTGCAATATAGGTGGAATGTAGGTGGCGCGACCCATGCCATATAACATGTATAGCTTGTGAAACATATGTACACAAGACTGCAGTGGCGCTTCGCGCCATGCACCTTGGTATTCGACGTCTGGTATGCGTGCGGAATGGCAGGAAGGTCAAGCCGACAATTTAGCGATAACTCCTTGTTGCCTTTTCTGGCATCGCCGTTGTAATAAGCTAATTCGTCATCCTTCCTCCACGCTTCTTTTTTTTCATTCTCGCCATACCCTGCGCATTCTCCCCATCCTCCTCAGCTCTTTTTGCGGAGGCTCCTCCTTGGAGGTCCTTTTGGGGCCTCACACAAGTTTCAGGCTTTCTCAAGGCCTTCCTGAGGCCTCCTGGGCGTGTTCTGGGGGCTCTGGGGGCTTCCTCGGGCTACCCGGCCTCCAACCGCGGTCTCCTTGAACGACCGGGTCACGATTTGGAATGCTTCGGAGGGCGTCTTGGGGCCATCTTGGGCCGCCATGGGGCTCTCTTAGGGCCATCTTGTCCCCTGTTGTGCCGTTCTGGAGCTCTTTTGGGCTGCCTGGAAGCCATTTCTGATGGTTATTGAGCGATTCTGGAGCCTCCCAGGCGGCTTCGGACGCCCAGAAAACCGCCGTCTTGGAGCGTCGGGAAGTCGAAAAGAGGAGAATTCCAAAATTCACCAAAAACCGCTAGAAATCAATGACATTTGCCTCTTGGGGCCTTCTTGGGAGTGCTCTTGGAGGCCTCTTGGGACGTTTTGGAGCGAAGCCTGAAGATGGCGCCGCGATGGCCCCAGAGAGCCAGCACGCTTGCCTGAGGGAGGCCCAAGACGGGTCCAAGGGCGCCGGGAGAAGCCAAACAGTGTTTCGCGTTTTTGCTTCCAATCGGCTCTTGAGGCCTCAAGAGGGCCCCAAATATTGGCGGCGAGCGAGGGGGGGAAGTCAGAAGGAGAAGGCCTTCTCAGAAGGCGGCGGGACTTCTCAGAATCCCTCGCGCCTTCTGAGAAGTTTTCGTCCGTTTTCGGGGCAGGCGTATGAAACGTCTCAGAAGGCCAGGGGACTTCGGAGCCTTCTGAGAAGGCCTTCTCCTTCTCACTTCCCCCCCTCGCTCGCCGCCGAAAAGAACCCCAAAACGGGCCCCAGAGAGGCCCAAGGCTGGCCCAAGAGGGCCCAGAGAGGCAAACATTGTTTCAAAAACTTTGGGGAAGTCAATCTTCGTGGCCTGCTCACCTTTTCGCCTCTGATCGGCCCATGAAACCTAAGATGGCTCGTAGATGATTCAAGAGAGCCCCAAGACGGGCCCAGCAGATGCCCAAGGCTGGCCCAAGAATGTTTGGTTCGGGCAAAGTCGCTCAAACGTGTTAAGACATGTAGTGCTTTTGGCTTTCTCGCCTTTTCGCTGACGATCGGCGCGTGAGGCGTCGAGACGGCTCCAAGATGGCCCAAATGAGGCCCAAGACAAGCCCCAGCGAGAGCCAAGACTGGCCCAAGAATGCCCAGAGAGGCGAACATCTAGGACAACACATGGAAAAATTGTGTTTTTGGCCTTCTCGCCTGTTCGCTTCCGATCGGCTCTTGAGGCTTCAAGATGGCCTCAGGATGGCCCCCGAGAGGCCCAAGCCGAGCCCCACAGAGGCCCAAGGCTGGCCCAAGAGGGCCAGGAGAGTCGAAAATCAGTGAAAACCCATTGGGAATCAGCGTTTTTGGCCTTCTCGCCTTTTCGCTTGCGATCGGCTCTTGAGTCTTCAAGATAGCCCCCGGATGGCTTGAAATGAGCCCCAAGACAAGGCCCAAAGAGGCCGATGGCTGGCCCAAGAGGACCCAGAGAGTCGAAAATCAGTGAAAGTACATTGACAAGTCAATGTTTTTGACGTCCTCGCCTTTTCCGCTTCCGATGTGCGCAATTTCATCAAATGTTTTGTTTCCTAAAATCATCCTGTGGTGTTGGGTCCTCGCTTTGAAGAGACGGCGCCTCGCGTCACTCACTCCTCCTCTCCTCCTCCCCCTCCTCCCTTCTCCCCCCTCTTTGCCTTTGCCCTCCGCGCTAGTCAACCATTTCGGCACACCCCTTACACGTTTCGTGGCCCCACAGGGAGCTCCACCGAGGGCCCCCAGTTGCTACGTTCGCATGCGCCCGCCGCGCCCATTTCGGCACACCCTTCACACGTTTCGTGGCCCCATAAGGAACCACACCGAAAGCCCGAATGGCGTCGCCCGCATGCGCAGCCGCACCACTTCAGCACACCCTTCGCACGCTTCGTGGCCACATAAGGGAACCCCACCGAAGGCCCCAGTGGCTACGCTTGCAAACCGCCGCCCCGATTTCGACACACCCCGCACACGTTTCGTGGCCCCAGAGGGAGCTCCACCGAAGGCCCCCAGTGGCTTCGCTCGCATGCGCCCGCTGCACCCATTTCGGCACACCCCTGAAACGCTGTGTGGCCTCATAGGCAGCTCCACTGAGGCCCCCAGTGGCTGCGATCGCATGCGCCTGCCGCGCCGATTTCGACACACCCCGCACACGTGTCTTGGTCACCCACGGAGCTCCACCGAATGCGTTAGTGGCTGCGCTCGCATGCGCCCGCCGCGCCCATTTCGGCACACAGCTCACAAGTATTTCGTGGCCCCATCGGGAGCTCCACCGAAGGCCCCAGTGGCTGCGCTCGCATGCGCCCGCCGCGCCCATTTCGGCAGACCCCTCACATGTTTCGTGGCCCCATACGGAACCCCACCGATGGCCCCAGTGGCTGCGCTCGCATGCGCCCGCCGCACCAATTTCGGCACACCCCGCACACGTTTCGTGGCCC